GCAGACTTTTCGACAGACAGTCAGTGGTTTTTCGACGATAGGGCAATTCTGAGATGAAGAAGGGAGGGTTTGACAGTGCGCTGGGAGGTTTTTTGGCATTCGTATGGGAAGTTCGGGTAAGAGAAATAGAATGGTTGCAAGTTTTCGGGAGTGACTAAAGGGTCACAGGCAGCCGAAAGGTCGCAAGGCAGTCGACGGATGACAGACAGCTGAGGGGTCACCGACAACCAAAAGGGGGTAGGGAGCTGAGGAGTTACAGGCAACTAAAGGGTAACTGGGAGCTGACGGGTCACAGACAACTGAAAGGTCATCGGGTAACCAAAGCATCATGCAAATACACATGGCGAGCGCCCACACTCATCAAGTGTTTGTTCACGGTCGCTAATCATGCGCGGCAGTAAACGTGCTCAGCAATGGTCGTACACGGAAGTTTTCGTGCACGAGAGTGGTCATGCACAACAACAGTCATGCACGACTACGAGCATTTGTCAGTGAGCATGAGTGACAGGAAGCGCGCATGATGGCTTTCGTGCTCGGCAGTGAATACACACGATGGCTTCTGTGCTCGATAGTGAATACGCACGGCAGCTTAGTGTTCTTGCACGGCAGCTTAGCGTGCTAGACAGTGAATATGCACTTAGCTTAGTAAGCTCGACAGTTTGGACCGTCACTCAAAAGGGGCAGCATCATATTGGTTGGCAAGAATTTCTGAGAGCATTTCTTTGACGAAGAGCTTTCCGAGGGTAGGAAACTTTAGAAATGGTAACTTCATTGATGGCGACTCAATCAGAGGGAATCCCATCTAGTTTGGAAGCTAAGGCCTCAAGCACAATTGTGAACTCCATGTTGTTCTGTGGAAGGGAACTCATTGCGAACAAGGCATGTTCTCCCTTATAAGCGTGTTCCTTGCTAGAGAAGTCTACTTTGTATACTCGATCTAAAACCCTTCTCTGTTCCTCTGATGCCGAAGCAACACTAGCGATCCACTGGTCTCTTTTCCTCAGATGCAGGAGCAACACTGATAGTCAACTGCTCTTCCTTTCCTCAGATGCAAGAGCAAAGCTAATGGTCAACCACTCCTCTTTTCCTCAGGTGTAAGAGCAACGTTGATGGTCAACCGCTCCTCTTTTCCTCAGGTGCAATAGCAACGCTGATGGTCAACCGCTCCTCTTTTCCTCAGATGCAAGAATTGAATTTTGATTTTTCACACTTGTAATGAAAAATTATATCTGTAACTTGCAGGTTCTCTTAATAAAAATTTTGGCTTGTTTGCACTACTTATCTCCCATGTTTCTTATGAATGTAGTAGGCCTATCACACTCTCTTTTCCTTTCAGAGTCATGCCTCAAGCTTGAAGGTATGTTTAAGGTCTTACCTTCGAGACCTCCAAGACCGTAAGGATCACGAGTAATACCTTTTTAGGTAATGTCCATTGATAGAGGGCATCACATCCTTCCCATCAGAATGAATCAATATATAGGCTCCATTTGGGGACACCTTTTTATTACATAAGGACCTTCCCACTTTGGTTCAAACTTTCCTTTACGATGCCCATGCATGACGATCGGCCTTTTCACCACTAGAAACAAATCACCACGAGCGAATGAACGGACTTTGATTGACTTGTCAAAAGCCCTCTTCATCCTCCCTTGATGGAGCTCGAGCTTCTGCTGAGTCTCTAGTCTCTTCTCATCTAGTGCATCCAATTCTTGATAATGAAGCTTGACTTGCTCATCTTTTGTCATATCATGATGTACGGTGATGTGAAGCGATGGGAGTTGGATCTCGCGAGGTAATACCGCTTCACTTTCATAGACCAAAGAATAGGGAGTAGAATCGGTAGCACTCTGAATTGTGGTACGATAAGCCCATAAAGCCTCAGGAAGTTTCTCGTGCCAATTTTTAACACTGACTTCCTTAGAATGCTGTAAAGGGTTTTGTTGAAGGCTTCGGCTAAACCATTTGCTCGAGGATGGTACATAGTAAAGTACTTCCACTCAAAGCCAAATTGGTTAGCTTAGTGGTCAATATGTTGGCTCCTGAACTAGGGTCCATTGTCTGATATGATCTGATCAGGCATACCAAAGCGATAAATGACGTGATGTCACACAAAATTGGCTACTGATTCTCTGGGGAAATTTGAGAGGGACCACTTAAGCCCATTTGGAGAAGTAATCTATAGTAGTCAAGATGAAGGTATGACCCAATGCTGAGGAAGATGGGTCTGACAATATCCATACCCCATTGTGAAAAAGGACATGACATCACCATAGGATGCAGAGACTCTAGTGGCTTATGAATGAAGTTTGAATGTATCTGCCACACTTAGCACCTCTTGGTCATAGGATAACGAATCTGTAACCATTGATGGCCAATAATAGCCCAATCTGTATATCCGTTCATAGAGCTTAAGATCAGACTGATGAAAGCCACATATCCCGGCATGCACTTCTTCAAGTACTTGTTTTGCCCCTTTTGTGTCGATACCTCGGAGAAGGATGGCATCGAAGGACCGTCGGAAGAGAACATCTCCATTAAGAAAAGTGTACTTGGTGGCCAATCTTCGTATATTGTTGCGCTCAATGCAATCCTCTGGTAGTCGACCGTGTTTGAGAAAGTTGATTATTGGTTCCATCCAATCGTCAACTTGTTCAACCTCAGCACCTATTGGATCAAAGATCTCTTCCTCTTGTCTTTTAGACTTATCGTCTCGGCCCTGCTTCGCCTTCTTTTCAGCTTCTAGAGCATCTTTAGCAGGGAGGAGTGCATTCTGGTAAAATATTCCTTTCATCATCCCCATCTAACTCTCCAATCAGCTCAATGTGCCTCCACTCTGCTACCCATATAGGCATGGGTTCTTCAAGGAGATTTGAATAGTGGCATCGACCTTAGCAAGGGCATCGGTCAGGGAGTTTAACCTTCTGGGAATATGCCCTAAGGAGAAGTTAATAAGGTTCATTATCAAAGTTTTCACAGTGTCATGATAGGGCTTAAGACTATCTTTCCTCACATCATATTGGTTAGGTGCCTCGATCTTGCCTCCCCGGATCTACGTGATCGGGTGACACATGTCTTGGGCTGAAAAAACTCGGGACTTGAAATCACTCTCTCGGAAACCTCGTTCACCAAACAAGTACAGGTGTCCAACTAGTGAGAAAGGAATTTTAACATGAGGTGGGACCAACCTCACCTGGGTTCGTGACTTACCCCGACTGACTCACGCGGGTGCCCTCTTAGATCACGACGGAAAGCCCTGGTTCGGAATCGCCTCCCTTGACCAACAATGTCCCTGTTTTCTGCACAACATTATCATGGTTAACTTGAAAGACATGTGGGCTGAAGGACCAACCCTTTTCTTAGGGAAATGCACATTCATAAGTGAGGGTGATGAAGTGGAAGATTCGAATAAAGGTAGAAAAGAGAAGAGAAATCGGTAATGGGATGAGACTAGTATGATAGCTGGACCAGTACAATGACCGACTCGGAGTGGTAGCAAGGCAGGCATGGTACTAGGACCAGTGCGACGGAAATACTACTCGAAACTGAGGTCGATATGACTGTCTTAATATGGTGTGGCAGCAAGACGAGCATGGTACTTAGGACCAGCACGATCGCAATACTGCTCGATAGCCAGACCGCTATGGTAATGCTAGACCGAGTCCACCCTCAATCAAGTGAGAAGAGAAGAGAATGAGGAGGAAGCGCGAGATGGCAAAGAGACGGGGCCTCAATTAGGCATCGCCATTCACAGCCATTGAGCAACAGTGTCATGGCCCTTGGACGGCGCTAGACACTACTGCTCCTCGTTGTTTGTGCTCCTCGTTGAGACATCGAAGACACATTTGTGTGGCTCCTCCTGTTTCAATCTTTCACCTATAACTTCTTCCGAGAGTGCCCGTTTGTGCTGAAATTTGACCCATGGGGAATTTCAACTGTGTCAGCTCCAATGGCGATGGTCCCATATCAATTTGAGGCACCGAAATAGAGCTCTAGTTGTAGGTCCATTTCAGGGTGCTAGAGGCTGATTCTGCCGAAACTATCTCTCAGTCTGCACTGCCTTAGACATGTCGGACTGTGATGAACTTGGCAAGAGACTTTTAGAAGCCTTTATGAATATATTAACCATTTATGGGGTCATTTTGAGACTGTCAAAATTTCCACTATTCATTAGGCTTTATTGACTGGCTTCCCCCTTTATTTCGCATCGGGGACCCATGGTACTGAAAAATGTCTTCCAAAATTATGCCCCACTGAATGTTGTGCTTCGAGAAAAGCGAGAAGGAAAAGCATTCTAAAAATTTCCTCTGGCTTTATTTCTTTTTTCTTCCTAGCCACATGACTACGTGAACACCAAGGAGATTCTCGCAATGTTGTAACTAGGATGCTCAAACGTTTAGATGCAATGTACTGATCCATCTATTGAGACTTTAGGGGGAGAAGAGAATTTGAGTGATTTGTGGAAGTCGTCACCCCCAAGGGACTATTTGTGATTCTGACAGCTGAGGATTTTTGTGGGACCTCGTTGGTTAGAATCGAGCTTATCTGGAGGCCAGGTGCCATGCTTTAGGGAACTATTGGATTGATAGCCAAAGAGCCTTTGGTCGGCATTTGTTTGCTGCTACACCAAGTTTGCTTTTGATAATCAGGGTACCTCTGTGAGCCCCATCTACTGGATCCCGTCAAGGGCCTTTTTTTTGGCCTATCTCAAAGGTCTGGGCCTGTCGGCTAGGGGGGATTTTGGTGAGGCATCACCCTGATGTCTCTGGTCCTCGGCTTTGTCAGTTTCTTGCCTCGAAGTCTTTGGTTTGTCATGATTTTCTTGTTCTTGTTGTTTGGGAGATCTTGTGAGGTTCTCACTCCAAGGTGAGCCATTTTGTGTTGTGATTGGATGTTGCCAGTCGAGGATTTTGTGTGGATCTCATTAGCTATAATTTGTGCCTATTTGGCAATTAGGTGCCGGTTGAGGCTGTGATGTTGCGTCAACCTGTTTTTTCTTGGTCCAAGCGCCCTTTGTGGGTTTTCACCTGGACTGGGGAAGTGGCGCCATAGAGACAATTTTCACCAACTTTCTTGATTTTCGAGCTCTTTTACCCTTGACCTTTCCGATATGTCCACCCTTTTCATCTGTTTATGCTCATGATGCCTTTTTGGGGTTTTCACCGTGCTCAATTTTTGTTTTTACGGAACTATTTTACTCATGGCTTCGTGACCATGCCCGTCCATCATTTTTACTCATGGTGTTCCTTGTCCAGGTATATACCACGATGTATTTACGGTCATGCCTTCAGTACCTGTGCGAAGCCTTTTATCATCATACGACCAAGACATGCACTATAGCTTAGGGTCATACAGCTAGACCATAGTGGTGATGAATGGCAGTCTTTGGAAGCCATAGAGTGAGTGTGGTGGTGGTTTTGACTCAATTTGGGGAGATGACACGAGGCTACCTATGAAAGATGGATGATGTATGAATAGTGGGTGAAAAGTAGTGACCCACTAGCTGACGACGAGTATGGATAGTGGAATGGTTCTCCGTTTTGTGAGCATGGGTTAAACTCACTGAGGAATGATGGATGATGGTAATTAGGTGAATGGGTTCACTGGGGAAGTAGTGAAGGTGGCACATGAATGGGTCGGTTAGGGAAGGTGTATGTGAAGATGCACGTAAAGGGCATGTGCGTGTATGTGGGGGGGGACCTTTAAGGTCATGCCTCCTGAACCTGGGCAAAGAAGTTTAACGTCAAGCCACTAGGACATGCACTATGGTTTAAGGTCATATAGCTTGGATCGTGGTCATGCAGCTTAAGGTCATGCAACTAGGACCATGCAGTTTAAGGTCGTGCAACTAGACCTCTGCTACGATTTAAGGTCATATAGTTTGGACCATGGTGCTAAGCCTTTTAATGTCATGCAGCTAAGATGTAGACTATGGTTTATGGTCATAGAGTTTAGACTGTGGCTATGCAGTTTAAAGTCATGCAGCTAGGACTAGGTCATCATTTTTACTCATCAGTTTAAGGTCATATAGTTTAGACCATGCAATTTTAGGGTCATACACCTAGACCAAAGCTGTGCAGTTTAAGGTCATGCAGCACAGACCGTTGTGTGGGTCTCCATGTAGGTGAAGCTTCATGGGGGGATAGGCTTGTATATAGCAATCAGACTCTCTAGGGATAAAACAGTTAAGGCTATACACATGTCGAGAGCTTTAGATGAAGATGGTGGCCCTACAAGGAGTGGAAAACAGAGGTGAACTTCACCGGGGATATAGGCAGCAAGTGTGACTCCCCGGGGATAATGAGTAATGGCATGGATTTAACTCTGCTGAGGATGACAGGCCAGAGCACAGATGCAACCCACTGGGAGTTGAAAAGATAAGATTGACTCTATGGAGATAATGGGTTGTGGTACGGATGTGACTCTTACTAGGGATGTTGGTGTGAAACAGACCCATCGGGGATTGAAGGGGTAAGGCGACGTTTTCTTTTGGATACACCTAACTCCATTGGGTATGTTGATGAAATATGCCTAGCTCCACTAGGGATGTTGATGGAATACACCTAATTCCACTGGGGATGTTGATGGAATACACCTGGCGAAGAGGTGCGCCCATTTCACAGTTTAGAGTCATGTGTATGGACTATTTGTCGCGCCGTTCATCATCTTGCGACAGGGACATGCGCTACAGTTTAAGGTTTTGTAGCTTGGACCCTGCAGTTTAAGGTCGTCCAACTAGACTATGGTAAGGGAATGTGACTCCCTGGGAACTGGAGTCGTAACTGAAAAATTGACTCTGAAGAGCGAGACAATGGCGCATGGAAAGAACTTCTTGAGGATGCAGAACGATGGTCCAGATGGGAGTGTCATAGCATGCGCACGACACTAAGCTTTCGATGACGCATGTGGCATTAGCCCCTTGATGAAGGGCACATAGCGTTAGGCCCTTGTAAAGCACACGCGGCGATACTTTCTGGTAATGCGCACAGTGATGGCTTTTGGGTGATGCGCATGTGACTCCTTCTGGTAAAGTGTACGACAATGGAGTTTTGGTGAGGCACGAGCGACGTTAAGTCCTCATGAAGCGCAACGAGAGTTCCTTGGCAAAGTGCACGACAATAGCTCCTTGGCGAAGTGCACGATGATAACTTTTGGGTCTCGGGCTTGACCGCCCCAGCCTGGTCTTATTTTCGTCTGAAGGTGAGGACTAGAGCTCATTTTGAATTTGTAAGGGGCAATTTGTGGCAGTCCTGAGTATAAAAGGGGGAAAAACACATTTTACTATTTTACCGAAAGGTAAAACAGTTGAAGAGAGTTTTTTTTTTTTTAAAGAGAGAGAGAGCTGAACCTTCCATCAAGAGACTCCCGACAAGAGTTTCCTGGCCAACACTCGCAACATACAGGCCTTCAAGAGTTTTCTAACGAGCTTGAGCAGTTCATGGGCCTTCGTAGCGTGCTTACGAATGTTTTTAGAGAGTGCCAAGGCTTTCAAAGCAATGAACTGAGGCTACACAGAGTTTCACCAAGACTTTTCTGGTGAAATTACAAGAGTCGCAATGGTGCTCTACAGGAGTTCTAGTGCTTTTCTGGTAGTTCAGCAGTTGCTGGCAGATTGCAGAAGGGTCAGGGGGTTTTGACGGTCCTCTGGTTATCAGGAAAGAAGAAGGAGGAGCAGCAGTGGACTCACTAGAAACACAGTGAAATTTCAGTGAGTTGTGGCGAACTGCAGAAGTGCAAAGAAGAGAGAAGGGAAACCCTCAGGGTCACAGGGGAGCTTTCAAGGAACTCCGAGCAGCTTTTCGC